TGTCGTTGAAAACGCTGCCATGCGTTACATTTCTATATTCCTTTCCGGGTTCGTGGGTCGATCATGTTCGGGCCCTGGGATCCTCACAGATCGATCCGGCTCGAAAAATTACTCAGGAACATAAGGGTCTAGGGCTCAAGGCGTGATTTTCTACGATCTTGCATTTTCCCGGAAAGGGCGTAGGCCCAGGGTTCTCTTTTGCTGTTTACCCCCGGGTCTGACGGGAAGACGGCCGGCGGAATTCTTTTGCGATAAATATTGAGTGGGAAGAGGGCCGGCGGATTAAAATGTGAGGATGTCCCTAGCGAAACGCTTGTTTTTCAGAATTTGTTGAGGATGTCTCGAGCGAAACGATTGTTTTGTGTTATAGATTGTCCTCTCCTGGGGCCAGAATTTAGAGGATCTCTCAAGTGAAATGCTTGGTTTCACGTGCGCAGGTCTTGAGGATGTCTCGAGCAGACGCTTGGTTTCACGCCTCCAGGTTGCCCAGGCAGAGGTCAAGCGCCAGGATTTGTTGAGGATGTCTCGAGCGAGTCGCTTGGTTTCACGCGTCCTCGTCGCCCAGGCGGATGTCTAGAATGAGGAGGTGTTGAGGAAGTCTCAATCGAGATGCTTGTTTGCACGTGTCCAGGTTGCCCAGGCGGATGCCTAGCATGAGGATGTGTTGAGAATGTCTCGAGAGATACGCTTGTTTTCACGTGTCCAGGTCGCCCAGGCGGATGTCTAACATGAAGATGTGTTGAGGATGTCTCGAGCGAGACGTTTGCTTTCACGTGTACAGGTCGCCAAGGCGGATGTCTAGAATGAGGAGGTGTTGAAAACGTCTCGAGCGTAACGCTTGTTTTCACGTGCCCAGGTCACCCAGGCGGACGTCTCACATGAAGAGGATGTCTCGAGCGAACTACTTGTTTTCACGTGTCCATTTCGCCCAGGCGGATGTCTAGCATGAGAATGTGTTGAGGATGTGTTGAGCGAAACGTTTGTTTTCACGTGTCCAGGTCGCTCAGGCGGATGTCTAGAATGAGGATTTTGACAGGATGTCTCGAGCGAAACGCTTGTCCCCAGCACGTTCCGTAGCGCGTCCCCTTGGCACGTCCTACGCTGCGACCCCATGGCACGTCCCCTGGCACGTCGCCTGGCGCGTCCCTTGGGACGTTTCGCGGCGCGTCCTCCTGGCATGTCCCCTGTCAATTAGCTCTGGGGCAGCTTCTATGTGTTCAGGCAGCTCGATCTTAAGATCCAGATCAGTTCGGTCAGGACTCGGATGCAAAGGAAGACTCGATTCACGACGCTATAGAGCACAACCGCGGCATGGCACATCGCAATTCAGCACCCTTGCAGCACAGCACAGTCCTCGGCACGGTACATCAAGATCGAATCAGCATTGCACTTGCCCGTCACCCAATCAGGTGTCTTTGAAAACGTTGCCATGCGTTACATTTCTATGTTCCTTTCCGGGTTCGTGGGTCGATCATGTTTTTCGTTGTGTCAGGTCTCAGGGAAGCACGACGGGAGGTGTTTCGCTATTCTCAACCTTTCTGGGGGCCCTCACCGGGCCTCGGGACCGTCAAAAAGCGACCCAGGATTAAGTCGGGCCTGTCCCTCTACGGGAGGAACATTCGAAAATACCCCAAAAATAGTCTGGGGACGATGTTTTGATCATTTGTTGACTATCCGTAAGGGCTTCGCCCCCTGCCTCGGGCCCCCTCTCTCGGAGAATGCGCTATGCAAGAGCTATGTCATGAGGCCTGGGCGCTGTCGTGAAGCAGTATCGGAACTTATGCGAGGCCGACTTGTAATGAGCAAAACCAATTGATCACCAGAGGGGTTATCACACCTGGCGGTTGGTAAGTCGTCGTGACCTTGCAGGTCTGCGTGAGGGGTGCCACCAAATTTCAGAAATGTGGCAAATTAATTCCCTATGTTTTGGGACCCTGACCCTACAGATCTGCATGAGGGGTGCTACCGAATTTCAGAAATGTGGCACATCCCCTGTGTTTTTGGACCCTGACCCTACGGATCTGCGTGAGGGGTGCCACTGAATTTCAGAAATGTAGCAAATCCCCTATGTTTTTTGGACCCTGACCCTACGGATCTGCGTGAGGTGTGCCACCGAGTTTCAGAAATGTGGCAAAGTCCCAATGTTTTGGGACCCTGACCCTACGGATCTTCGTGAGGGGTGCCATCTAATTTCAGACACATGGCAAATCCCCTGTGTTTTTGTACCTTGACCCTACGGATCTGCGTGAGGGGTGCCACCGAATTTCAGAAATGTGGCAAATCCCCTATGTTTTTTGGACCCTGACCCTACGGATCTGCGTGAGGGATGCCACCGAATTTCAGAAATGTGGCAAAGTCCTTGTGTTTTTGGATCCTGACCCTACGGATCTGCGTGAAGTGTGCCACCAAATTGTCAAGCTTTTAGACCCCCAGAAATTCTGAGAACCCTCCCAGGGCGTGGTAGTTCTGCTGGTTTGGGATCCCACCCCCCCTCGCGCGCTCATCAACAAGGAACAGCAAGCAGCAAGAAGCAGAACTGTAACAGTGGAAACTGGAAGCTGCAACTGGCACAGGGAGCAGCACACTCCCGGCCTACAGCCTGGTGGCCCCGCAAGGGGGCCGGCGGATGTTTGCTTATCGTTTGACTCTGTTTTGTTTTTGCGTTGTCCAAAGTCCGCCTGTAGGGGGGCACGCCCGACCTCCACCCAGGATGAAAAATTGGGCCCCGGGAGCGGGTCGAGACCTCGGGAGACGAGTCGTGACGTCGGGGGCCTGGCACGCTCCGCCCCTGCCGCTGCTGCTGCTGGCGGGCGGGCCGAGGAAACCGCTCGGCCCCCCGCGGCGGCGGCGGCGGCCAGCCGCGGCCACTGCGGCGAGCCCCGCGGGCCTCGCGCGGCGCAAGCACAAAAAACCGTACTGCATCGACCTAGTTACAAGTCCGGCGCGCCCCTCTGCAGGAGGAGAATTCAAACATAGTCTTTAGAAAATATGGGGCCGATTTTTTCTCGGGCATCTCTGAGCATGTTTGAGCATTTGTTTTGTATGTGTCGTTTCTCCTCCCAAATCCACCGGTAGGGGGACACGCCCGACCTAAACCTACAACTGCCCACCGCTTGCAGACAGGGGCCCGGTAGCCCCGTCATCGGGGCCTGTCGCCGATCGATCGGCGGTGCGTCACCGATCCGCGCTCGCTGCTTCCTCCCCCCCGTCGTTCCCAAAGCGCTCTTCGGCGACGGCGTCGGCTGCACGTGAGCTCTGGGGGGATGCCCTCCGCAGAGCAGAGGCTCCGCAGGCGCGGCGCCGCCGCGGGCGGCCTGGGCACCCTCCGGGGGCGGGCGCCGCGGTGCCGCGCGTGCCCGGGGCGGCGGCCGCCGTCGGCTCTGCGGGGGCGGGCCGCGCGCTGCGGGCGAGGCTCGAGGCTCGAGGCCGACGGAGGCCTGCGCCGAGGTTTGAGTCGGGCGTGTCCCTCCACAGGAGGAATCTGCCATCAGGCATCTCTTTTTAAAAACAAAGAAGAGCATGTTGGGGGCACGTTCGGCGTACATTTTGGGACCAGTTTCGCTTCTTCGTCCAAGATCTGCCTGCAGGGGGACATGCCCGACCCGAGCCGAGATGGAGGTGACGCACCAGCTGAGCGACGCAACAAAAAAACGGGGTCGTCTGCGCCGACATTGGCGCGCAGGCTGCCCGCGTAAGGTCGCGCGCAAGCACCCATCGTCTCCAATGCAGCGTGCCGCGCTGGCGCTCCGCGTAAGCTGCGGCGTAGGGTCGCTACGTCATCTCGCGTAAGACCCGTTTTTGATCGTCGCTCAGCCGGGGCCCCTCTCCAGGGTCAGAAGTGGAGGGCCAGCAAGCGCAGCACGGGGGGAGAGCAGGAGCGCGATGCGATCCCTCGTGGTTCGCTGTGTCGGCACCCCTGCGGCAGCAGGCCCGAAGCAGTTTTTCACACAGTTACACGGAGGGGGGGGGGGGCAGGCTGAGTCACCGATTTCGGTCGCTCGGGTTCCCCGAACGAAGTTGTTCAGGGAGCAGCATGCAGACTCGTGTGGGACTGCCGTCTGGAGGCCTACGTCTCCTCGGAAGTGTCGGCGGCTGCTTCCGTTGAGCACTGCTCTGAGTTCGGGTTCCTCGGCAGATCATGTTGCCCTCAGGACGCCTTGACCGATAAACAGGCAGCCTGTTCTTCAGAACGCTGCGCATTGAGAACAATAGCATTAGCGCCAACAGGAGCAGACGTGCAGTTTCAGATGCCCAAGCTTCCTTCAGATTGGGCCGCGCTCGCTTTGCTGAAAGAAGGAGGAGGAGGAGAAGCAGCAGCAGGAGGAGGAGCAGGAGAAACAGGAACAGGAGCAGGAAAAGGAGAGAATAAATGATGATGAAGACACGTGGAGGGGCAGGTGGAGAGGGACAAAGATGGTGGAAGAGGGAGGAGATAGGAGCGCGACGGGATGAACAGGAGAAAACGCAAGATGACGACGGCAAGGACCACATCTAGAAAAAGGAGAGGAGAGGGAGGTGGACGCAGAATAAGGGGGAGCGAAGGGGGGGGCAAGAGGACGAGGAAGAGGAGGAGGAGGAAGAGGAGGAGGAGGAGGAGGAGGAGGAGCCTCGTGACGTTGGCTGGACGGATGGTCCCTCTTCCCTCCTCCCGCGATTCCCGCCCGCGACGCGCCCGTCGGCACGCGGGGTGGTGGTGCGGTTAAGGCATCGTTGCGCAACGGTGCGAGAGAGGATGAGGAGGAGGAGGAGCAGCAGCAGCAGCAGGAGGAGAACGAGGAAGAGAACGAGGAAGAGCACGAGGAGGAGGAGGAGGAGGAGGACGACGACAGGGAAGAGGACGGCATGAATGAGGACAAGGAGGGCGGCGACTGGCGCGAAGGCAAGGGGTGCTGGCGCGAAGACGAGACCGCGCCTCGCGGGGCGCGCGGCGCGAGGTGGACCTGGAAGCCCGGCGGCGAGGAGGGGGCGGGCGGGCCCCCCCCCCTGGCGCCCGACGCCAG